TCTGGTTGATATCTCTTTAGCAATATCTACTGTTAACGCCGATCTGGAACGTATATCTGCCTGGAGTTAATCTCATGGTCTTGTTATAAACCCCTTGAAGACACAAGCCATTATTATTGGGAGTCCCATACTTATTTCCAAAATTTCCTCGACCAGTCTTCCGCCTGTGGTTTTTGATGGGGTTATGATAGATTACCAAAAAAAAGTAAAAAATCTTGGCATTATTTTTGATAACACTTTGTCATGGTCTCCACAAATCTCGGAGGTCAGTAAAAAAATGTTTGCTGCAACTTTTGCCTTAAATAGACTACGTAATTTCCTCCCAGTTAACACCAAAATTGCGCTCGCATACACCTTACTCCTACCCATTCTTGATTATGCCGACTCATGTTATTTAGACCTCACCGAAGAGCAATTAAACAAGGTTGAGCGTCTCCAAAATTTATGTATCCGCTTCATATTTGGTCTTCGCAAATATGATCACATTTCTCAATTTCGTACTCAACTCAAGTGGCTCTCTATCCGTTTTCGTCGTAATCTGCATATCCTGTCTCTTCTTTACACAATCTTTTTTAATCCTGCTGCTCCTGATTATCTAAAAGACCGATTCTTGTTTCTCAGTGAGGCTAATGATCATACTTTACGCAGTGTCAATAACCTCCGACTTAAATTTCCCACTCATTCTTCTTCCTTTTATTCTAGATCCTTTACTGTTCAGGCAGTTCGTCTATGGAACTCACTACCTACCTCTATTCGGTGCGCTCAAACTCTTACTAGCTTCAAAATCTCTGTTAAATCTTACTACCTCTCACTTTAGTACTATTTTCCTGTGTTCTCTCTTCGTTTTCCTTCATCATTTTTTTCTGTTGTATGTATGCTGTTAAGTATGTGTATGTTATGTATATATTTAATTGTGTATATATATATATGTGTGTATAGATGTATCTATATATGTTTGTATATGATAATATTTATATAATAGTGCGCCACCTACTCTTTGTCTTTTTCTCAATGTCCTCTACCCAAAGGTTGTCTGGAAGAGATTGCTTAGCGATAAGGCCGCCTTTTGTATCACTTCTCATTAATATTTACTGTATTTGTTATTTCTCTTTTTACTTGGTGCAATAAAGTGTAAATAAATAAATAAATAAATAAATATAAATCAATAATATTCTTTTCAGAGAGTATTCTACCACAGAAACTGAATGATTTCCCCAAAGGAGCATGAGTCAATAAACGACAAAATTTAAGCCCCAAACAATTTTAAACCCATGCACGTCGTAAGTATGGTGGCTTAAAATTGTTTGACTTTTTGATTCACAAAATTTATAACCTTCACCGAGTTTCATGTTTGGGTACCAACTTTGATACACATAAAATATCCTACTTTATTTATACCTCGCCGCTCGAGCATCCATCCCCGATCCTCGAGCACCGACCCGCTCCACTTGATGCATAAAGAACTTTTGATTTGAGTTTTAAATGGACTACCCCCAACTCGACTCGATGGACGTTTGTCTATGGCTTGTTAAACTGATGGACCGTCAAAAGGACCGTAGCTTTTAAGACAATGAGATTGAATAGCAAAATGTAGGTTAAGTAGGACCTACTGTCATAGCAAAATTTTTGATCTTGCTCTAAATAACCTACATAGGTAAAACATTGGTATAAATAGTACACATGAAGTTCAGTTTGCTAGCTGTGTTTGCAACTTCGTACGTGATATTATGCAACTTAGAATGACAAAAAAGCTGACGGCCCACCTAATGAAAGTGGTAACCGTCGCCTGTAGACATGAGCAGTACCATGGACATAACAGAGTATACTGTTTCACCCATGATATCCCGCATGCGTTGCCATTCCTGAGGACATAGGTATTATGCCTCTGTACCCTGTAAATTCACTGCCATATCCCACCCTTCAAACCGAAACACAGCCATGCAAACATAACTGCTTCACGGTAGAGACACGAATGAGACAGAAGTGCCCAAGCAAACGGCTTTTGTACAAAGTCTCCCTCTGGTATCAATGATCTGGATATAACATAGTTCAATCCCATGAATCACCATAATATAGTGTAACTAAATACGAGTTTGGTTCGCTTTGCTTACTTTCTGAAAAGGCCCATCTATAGCGATCACTTTTGTATAAATAAAGTAACAGCAACCTTTTTTTACCCCTCAGGTTTTATCAAATTCTCGAAAATCTTGATAAGCAGGTTAAACATAGTCTTAGAGAGTGTATTTGAATAAAAGAAAACGAATAACTTCTGCGCTTAATTGGATAAGTCCTTTGATAAAAACATAGAAAGGATTTATAATAAATAGGTACTCGTAGGTTTAATCGACAACAGTTAACAGAGATTTAAAAGAGTAACTGTTGAGTTTCTTGAGGGCTCTTTTCAAGAGATAACAACCTTACAAACCCTGCAATAGATAAAAATGGCATTTTAAAAGTGCTTGTAAACAAGTCTATTTGAATAAAAAATCTAAATTTCTATGATGATTTGTATACTTTATGTAACTATTTTCTTTTTTAATACCATTTTTCAACCGTTTTCGAAAAGAAGGAGGTTCTCAATTTTCTCAATTCGATTCAGTTTTTTTTTATTACTACTATTTGGAAAATTATTCGTTTATCTGATAAGATATACTTACAGATTGGTCCATTACAAATTTTATCAAAATCGTTATAATAGGTTTAAATTAAAATAACTGTTATTTTCACAATTTGAAGTTTTTTTTTTTTTTTGCAGAACACAATCTTAAGCTATTTATGTAAAGGCATAACATATTTATTAAGTTATTTGATAAGTAATATAGCAGGTATATATAATAAATAAGCAACCAACAATATTGTAAAAATAAATAAACATTTGAATACATAATTGAAGATGAATTGCTGATTACAATTAATTTTAATATTTTTGTTTATGCAGAAGCTCCAAATCATATCGTCGAGTATAGAGAGGATTGTGCACGGAGTTTCACTACGTGATACAATCTGAATCTGAATGAGGAGAATCCGTAGGATAACTGGTAGAATAATATAATAATAATTATTAATAGAATAATAATAGCAACCAGTTAAAAGGAGAAGCAATAGGAAGTGGCAATGGTCCAATTATATAATCCAAATAATCGACAATTAATGAAGAATAAAGGTTCTTGAGTTCTCTTCGTCATCATCATCATCATTTCAGCCATTATCCGTTCACTGCTGGACATAAGTCACCCCATAGATTGCCATAAATAACGGTCCTGAGTCACCTGCATCCACTGACTTCCTGCAATGCATTTCAGGTCGTCACTCCATCTAGTGGGGGGTCGTCCTACACTATGTTTACCCGTGCGATTGCCACTCAAGAACCTTTCTTCCCCATCGGTTGTCGGTTCTTCGAGTTCCCTTATTGATAACATTTATCTACATGGGATCTTTTTTTTATACTACTATGATGGTAAACAAACATACGGTCTGTCAGATGGTAAACGGGGTACCGTAACCTATGGACGTCTCTAATACCAGGGATATTACGCACGCATTGTCAACCCATAAGAAACCTTAATACTTCCCTTTTAAGAAGAATCCATGCTGTTGTTTCTAATCTAGAGAAAGCGTCGATATGTAGATCATTCCACAACCTGAGTATTCGAGGGAAGAAGCTCCTCTGATACTGCAAAGTATTTATCTATATCCTATAAACAAATGCTGTCTAAAAGGGATGAAACGGTAATTTTGTAAAAAAAATAGATCATGGGAAAGTATTATGCATTAATATCCATATAGTAATGCGCCACTCTACTCTTTACTCTTTACTCAAATACTCTTTGTTTTTTTTATCAATGCTCTCTACATAAAGGTTGTCTTGAAGATTGCTCAGCAATAAGTCCGCCTATTTGTATCGCTTTACATTAAAATTTACTGTATTAATTATTTTTATAAATAGTCCAATAAAGTATAAAACAAGTACATATATATTATTCCGACTGTACATGAACTAACTCATTCAAATCCTAAAACACAATTACTACAGTGACTAGACAAAATCTTATTTATATTTGAGTTAATTTAACGGCCTGTTGTTGTATAACTTATTAATGCCAGCCTAAGGCAAGACTAGGCAGATTTTGCAAATTTGTGCCTCTTGAATAACAAAAAGCTCTGACTGTCAATGACTGTATTATAAGGTTTACAGACTATATTGTGAAGCTGTTTTGTTTATTTTTAGTTCTTTACGGAATAAAGTGTTGTTTCTGATTTGTTTCTCTATTTATTTTTGTACAACGAGGGTCACTTTCATTCTTACATTTATAATCATAAGGTCATAGTGTACACAATATTTTATTTAGAATTAACATATATTACTGATTAGTACGTAAGCACGTCAAGTTCTTTATGGCAACCGAATGCCGAAAGCCTTTGTTTGCACATACATATCTTACTTCATGCACTTTCATAACACCATCTTCTGAAAGTGACGTCTAATGCACGCCGGTTTCGAAAACTCTTGATTTAAATAGAAGACAGTTTACCTAATCATAATAGTTATGTCTGTTTCCGTTAACATACATTTACTGACGCATTGTATATCTATTTTGTCAACATACCTGTTTCCAATGAATATATTTCCTTTTGCCCATTCCTTGTTGAATTTATGAATACTACATAGTACTTTAGATAATCGAATAAAGTCAATTACTGTTGAAAGATTCCGCTCAATTACTCTAGAAATCGATGGAAATAAAAATATTTCAAAGACTATCATTGTGTTTATTACATACAGTACACACATAGACATTTCACTACATTGTGAAATAATTTATAAGCTATCCCTTTTAATTAAAACAGAATAAATAAGAGCTTCTCATTTACATGAAAGTTTTGAAAATGTTTTAATAGTGCTAATTAGAATCATCTTCAAGTTGCATTCGGCGCGCTTGTAACTTCTCTACCTTTTTTCTTTTCTTTTTTGTTTATTATAATAACATTGAAAAACTCACGATCTTTCGGCGCCGCTCCATCTCCTGCTACTAAAAGGCTAGCGAACAACACAACCACTAATCTGGAAGCCATCTCTGCACTACATTTATTTACTTAAACTGCTTTATATATAGGTGACCGTGGACACCCACGGTCCATCATTAACTCTATACGACACGGCCTTGGTAATTGAACAATATATACGTAATCTCGTATTGTCATTTGATGCATTGTCCTGGAGTACGCTTTGACCCACAGTTATCTACAGTAGGTATAATGCTGTAGGATCATTATATAATTTAGTTCCTGACCCACACGTATAGGTGTAAGTACTAACTGTGACCCTTCGTCCTCGTGAGTGTCAACTGACTTGATATCGTATATGATCTCTAACAACTGTATAATCTATCTAAATAAAAATCAATTGCTGAATATATGTAAGTACATAATTGCAGAACTTGTTTGTCTATTTTTTGGAATTGTCAGTATAAGATTTGTATGAAAGAAAATATTTGAAAAATAAATATTTATGCTCACAAATATGTATAAACCCAAAAGGGATATCAGATTTATTTTGTTGATTTTATTTACAATTAACGCTTAAATTACATGAATCAACCGCATCTTTTGACTCCTTACAACTTATTCGTTTCTCCTTCTACTTCCCTAAGTACAAAGTACAAATTTGTCTCTTTTACATATTTAATATCTTTTTTCATCCACTTTTTTAAATAACCTGTATCTAATATATTCGTAATAAAAAGTTACAAATATTTTAAAACAAAAACCCACAAAGCGATTTAGACAACAATTGGCAAACTAGCTCAAATCGAAACTCAAGCCATAGGCTACGATCACAATTATAAATTTCACGCGGCGTACGTAATAGTCGGAATACATTTTGGCAGCCACTCTCAGTGATGAGAGATATTGTCAAATTTTAACTCGAACAAATGGCCGATTATTTATTTATTTAACTCTTTATTGCACCATAAATAAAAATATACAATGACAAGTGAATAATTCAAGTGAAATACAGTAACATAAATACAGATTGAAATATACATATAAAGGTACAAAAGGCGGTCTTATCGCTAGGGCCGATTGAGTAAATGCAATCTTTATTTATGTGAAAGTGAGTTTGTTTGTTACCTTTTAATGTCTTCACCAATAGTCATCGAATACAGATTTTTTTTTATACTGCTTAGAATGGCAAACAAACTAACGGCCCACCTGATGGAAAGTGGTAACCGTCGCCTATAGACATGAGCAGTACCATGGACATAACAGAGTATACTGTTTTGTCCATGATACCCCTCATGCGTTGCCATTCCTGAGGACTCAGGTGTTATTCCTCTGTACCTAGTAAATTCACGCCATATCCCACCCTTCAAACACAAAACACAGCCATGCAAACACAACTGCTTCACGGTTGCAATACGAATAGGACAGAGGTACCCAAGCAATCGACTTTTGTACAAAGTCTCCCTCTAGATGAACATTTTATTTTTTACAAATACTTATTTTCAATACTGCCTCAGTTTTCTATAGACTAGCTTATACTGCCTCATTTCCCTTTTTTTTTATAAAGTAAATGTATTTGTTTTTTTAAGCATAGTACCAAAAATAAAGCACCAAAAGCTTCCTTTCCTTATTTACATTTTTCCACTTTGTAATTCATCTCATGCCACCAATTCCGGAGACTCCTTTTGTTGGATACTACATGTGATCTATTAGATTATGATAGGTCAGTACCTCGTATCTGCATTTTTTCACCATTCTTCATAATGTATTGTCTTTTTCCCGATGGCCCCTACCAAAAGGAAAAGATTATTTAGCGATAAGGCTGCCTTTGTTATCACTTCTCATTAATATTTACTGTATTTATTATTTTTTTATTTGGTTGGAACAAATAACTTTATTGTATATGTACATATTTTATATGTTATATATGTATAATAAAAAAAATATGTATAATTATAATTTTATTTTTGTTTTTGTGTTACGCCCAACGAATCTTTGTAACTACTTTTAAAATCGAAAGAAGAGAAATAGAACTATTTAAAAATATATAATTAAAATTATATAAGAAAAAAAAGATAGAAAAATTTGCAAAAAATGTACAGGATGCCAAAATGTACGTACAAAGTAAATAAGTCCGAAAACGTATTAAATTTCTAAAGTACAGTGAAGTTATTTACGTTAAAAATCATTAAAATATAAATGCAAAATAATTGTACGTCCGTGTTTGTGTTGTGTATATTTGAACCGGCCTTAGTCCACGCGAATCGATACAAATGCGTTGGCAACCATCTTTTGTTGTTAGGGGATGTAGCCCCCTTGCTAACCACCCCAACTGCATAGATACGTGTTGCTTGCTGTGCTGCTAAGAGCTTATTGCTCGATTTTCAACCTAAAGGATGTTTGATTTGACTTTGTTATAAACAATAGTATTGGCATAATGTTTCAAACCAAGTTCAGACAGGAAAGTTCGATAATAAACCAAATTAATCCTAATGACATTGGTTAGTTGGTCCCTGCCACATTGAATTCCAATATGTTCAGCGAAATGTGGGCATTTCGAGTATTACGTTCATCACAAGAGTAACGATTAACACATGTGCCTCTGACTGTCTTATTAGAGATTATACCCGTGAGTCAATTTTTTAAAAGAATTTCTCAATTTTGTACTTTTTTCATGTGTCTTATATGTTATTTTCGCCATTTAAGAACTAATTTCGATTCTTCTGAAATGAAAATAATAAAATTAGAACTAACATTATAGTAAAATATTATTCAGTTAATAAAGTTTACTTTCATGTTAAAATTCGCGAAGCTATACTACTTTTGACATTGCTCGATTAATATGAACCATGGCAACGAAGACGCGAGTCGCGAGCAAAGCCAGTGGCAATTTAAATTAAAATTTCATTTCATTTAATTATTTTGTATATAGGTAGAAGTAATAGATGGTAAAAGAAGATAAATCCTCTTTAATTATTATTATGTATATATTAATGATAATCATTTATATATAACTTTACACATCCTCAACCTCAGAAATCTCTATTTTTACAATGGCCATGATTTTTTGTTATCATATTGTTATAACCCCTGCAAATATAATTTTACTCGTATTAACTTTGCCCGCGCCGAACCCGTTACCTGCCTCCCTCTCAATCCTACGGGAATCCCCAAAATCCTTATGGATACGTCACGCGAGAATCTTCAATGAAAAATTTTCAGATATTTTTTTATATCACGAAGATGCCAAGCAAGCTTACAGACATACATACGTTAGTTAGTTCTCAAAGATTAGTTAATTTTAATATATGTTGTTTATAAATATTTGTTTATCTTATCGCGATAAGTCTTAATCGTGAAATTAAATATCTTAAATATTACTAAATAGTATTTCACTTATGTGACTACATGTGTATATAAAATAAGTTATTTATTCAAACTGGAATGATAAGCAAGTCGACAGTTCCCTTAATGGAAAGAAGTTAATATCACTTAAGACACCAACAGAATCATGACTGTCGCATATCCCTCAATCATTGCCAATACTTGGGTATTATATCCTAGTTTTCAGGATAAATAAAAAGTTAAAAAAAAGTAATGAAAAATTCTCTTAGAATAAGGCCCAATCTTGGATAAATAATTAAATATATAAGAAATTAATACAATAATGATTTAGAAATTGCAAATTGAAAAAAGACTATCCTTTTCGTAGACAATAAAAAAAAAAAAAACAGAAAGCAAGAAAAAATAAAAATATAGAATAGACAGGTAGAGTTTATGTCACAGTCATTATGAGCGCATTCGTATATATAATAACAAAACCGTATATCGTATAATAATAAAAAAGGTGCGTTCAATATTTGTGTTCTTAAAACTAATCTCAACAGGTTCCATATCTTATAATTTCACGATTATGTAGACACATATTAGTGTTTTTAATCAAAAAATTAGTGAGGCAGAGGTACCCATACAAATCGTTGTACTAAGTCTTCCTCGAGTAATAAAGTTAATATAAAAATGCAGTATTTCGCGAATTATTTTTTATGTTTGTTATTATAAAAAAAAAGAACAAAGTATATATACCATCACCTGTGTGATAATATACACCATCACACCGGTTTATCTAGCTAGTAACTATTCAGTATTATCTTTGATAAATGGTAACAGGAGAGCATGACAGTGTAGGCGGTCTAGTAGCTAATTAGTATCTGTTCAGAACCTAATCTAGGGATATCATGTTTAATTAGTTCAGTTTATATACCGCATGACACAATTAGAGTAGCATATATCATAATTTATTTGCCGTGTGGTCCCGGCATAAAGCAGACCCCTTCCTTTCCCGTGGGTGTCGTAAGAATCGACTAAGGGAAGGCGAGAGATAGGCAGTAGCGTCCGTCTTAAAACATCTCCAAAGTTTAACTGCGGTTGCCAATCCGCATGCCAAACATGGCGATTCCTAGCAAAACTTCCAAAGAGGTAGGCTTATTTATGTTCAGCAATGGATAATTAAAGGCTGATATGATGATGATGATATTTAACACAATGATGTGGTAATATCGCTTTACAGGGGGGAAAGGGATTGTTAGTAATGGAGACTGAGAATCCCATTGCTTGCAATATACCCAACCAGGTCGACCTCCTCGCGGTTTTCCCTGGAAACTATCATGGTTAATTCCTGATGAATTCATCATGATGGGCTAACTGGCCTGTTTTCATTCTCATCTATCACCCTTCACTGGTGCTCCGCCAGCGTATCCCGTTAGCGCAGGCGGGATTACCATACCATTTTCATCCATAGAAAAAAATATCGCTTTATAAAAACTGTTTTACGTTTCGCGTAGGCTTAATTTAATTTTTTATTTTCCCTCCAGATACCTACGTACTGAAACAAACTGTCCAACTAAAGTGATAATTTTGCCGTATACAAGAACTACTTTACAAGTTATATTGGTTGTGTCTAGTTAATGTTCCACTATAGGCAGCCTAGTCGAACGTTTTTAAAGAGTTATTGCTAGGATCCGAGAGTTTGTGTAGTAGGTACATTTAAAGCTGCAGCTGTAAGGCGCCACTCTGTCTTTACTCGATGTGAGTCATCGGTCGGTATAAAGGTTAATTCTCAATGACTCAGTGTCAAAGCACATAGTATGAGAATTTTCGATCGACTCCAAAAAAATGGAGCTTTTCAATTAAATTGTACTTTTATAACGGTTGTTACTCATATCTACGTCAATTGTAAATCGATTTCGAGAATATTTATTTATCTGATAGGACATACTTACAGATTGGTTCCATAAAAAAATATCTAATTCAATTAGGGTTTTTTTTATACAACTTAGAATGGCAAACAAGCTGACGGCCCACCTGATGGAAAGTGGTAACCGTCGCCTATAGACATGAGCAGTACCATGGACATAACAGAGTATACTGTTTCGCCCATGATACCCCCATGCGTTGCCATTCCTGAGGACTCAGGTGTTATTCCTCTGTACCTAGTAAATTCACGCCATATCCCACCCTTTAAACCGAAACACAGCTATACAAAACACAACTGCTTCACGGTTGAAACACGAATGGGACAGAGGTGCCCAAGCAATCGACTTTTGTACAAAGTCTACTTTTTAAAAACTTAAATCAAAATAACTGGTTTGCCACAATTAAAGTAGATTTTTTTAAATACAATCTTAATTATAACGTAAGATAATGATTCTACAAAGAAATTATAGAAATGTATTTCTCTCCTAAATATCTTTTTTTTTATTTCATTAAAATTTTTACATTATGGTGTTGATAGAGTTGATAGAGATAGATAGAGTTTATAATAGTATGCTTTAGTAGAAATTAATGCAAGTGTAAACAAACGAATAGTTGCTTTGACCATAAGACAGTGTGTTGACGTCCAATAGTATATGTATAGAACAAATAAAAAATTGATTATTTGTTACTAAATATCATTTGAAGAATGTTTCTATTATACTTTCAATAAAAACTTGATTAAACTTTAATTTTTTTTTATATTGAAACTTTATGAAAGAAAGGTTCTGGAGGGGCAACCCCGTAAGGGCAAACGCAGTATGAGACGACTCTCCACTATATGGAGTGATGACCTCAAAGGCATTGCAGGGAATCAGTGGATGCAGGTGATTCAGGACCGTTCCTTATGTCAGTTTATAGTGGACTACTGGACATAGTGGACAAATTATGACTAAAATGATGAAAATAATGATGACACTATTTTATACTATGATTTTTTCTTTTAATTTTACTTTCTTGCGCTTCTCTTCACTGCCACAGTAGTAGGAATTCGCCCTAAGGTTATATCCATTATTCATCTCAAGTGATATATGTGATATTTACCACACAGTCTGGCTAAACTTTGAATCTGTGTAATTTCCTTCAATTCGGATGTCCTTTTCAGATTTTCAAATTGCTTCTTAATGATAGATTCTAAATATTTTGGTCATAGAGTTATTACTCGCGATTTAACTGCCTGAATTAGAATAAAGATTAATAATAGTACCGCATTCGAGTATTCAAACTCTTCTCTAAGTTTGACTGGCAGATAATGCTTTTAGCATTAAGTCCGCCTTGTAGGCCTACTAATGAATAAATAAATATAAACAAATAAAGTTACTACATGTTACACTTGTACACGCTTTAAATATGTACTAAATTTAATTAAAAACTTAACCAAATATTCAAACATCTCCATATTCGATAGTATGATTGAATAGTAATAGAACTATAAAAGAAAGTAGAAACTGTGAGTAATTAGGTTTATATCAGTGGAGCATTTTGTGTGTGTGTGTGTGTGTGTGTGGAGTATGGATGTATAATGCTCTAGTTTAAATATAAAAACCTTTTCGAGTTTGAGCCGACTTAAATTACAAATGTTGTTTCTTAGCGCTCCGGCGGTCCATTCCGGTAACAAACAGACGCCCGTGCAGTCCATTACATTGTTACGGTTATGACTGTAAAGTGTACAAACTTTTCATTATAAGCTCAAACATCACAGCTTATTTAGCTCCAACGACCCTAATTTTGCACACATACGGACATAATAAAGTTGCTAGTAGATTAAGTATCTCTTTTTAATGATAACGACCTTGTTTAAAATAATCTCGTATATATTATAGCATTTTTCATAACTAGGTAAGGTCATAGATAAGTAAGTCTAAAAAAAGGGTGAATTCCTATAAAGTTACCCTTTTTTATTGTCAGCTTATTTTGCTATTTCAAGTTGCATAAAAAATTATGGTAAAAAAATAATTGTTTCGGATTCTCAAAAACATCTTTTTTAACATTTTTTTTAGTTTATTATGTTTCTAAAATCTGAAAATAAAAATATGTACAGGTTTACAAAAGTGACATTATTATCCTATATCTACAATTAATCGTTCATTATTTTAATTTTCTTTTTATATTAAATTCTGTAAATAATTTTTTTTTAATACAATATTTATGTCGTAGTTTCTTAATAGAACTTCGTTATATCGACTGTATGAGTATTTTTTTTTTCTTAATGTTTTTTTTTATCTTTTTTTTTTTCATCTGTAATATTCCAGTATTGTGTTTCATTTATTAAGTATCAGTAACGTGTTGTAATACCTCTAGTTTAAGTCCGTAAGCTGCGTTTACAATCAAGCGAACCACACGTGTCACCCTTGTTTATTGTATAGAAAAATCATAACAGCTGGATTCCTAAAGCTAATGGAATGTAGCAAAGAGGCACCCCACGCAGTCTTGTTAATTCGTCTCAGTACAGCCACGGTGCACAAGGCCTAATCGAGTTAACGTCCCGTGAGCACTCGCTCAAATAGATCCCTTCGACTACAATTCGACATAAGAGCATCACCCATCATCTACATTGTTACGACTTTTTTAATGTTATTTTTTATGCGCTCAATGACATGTTTTACGGTTCTTTGATGTAATGACTTGACTTTATTGTGTAATATAAGCATAATAATAACATTCATGTTCAAGTTATTGGTGAATAATGACCTATCTCGGAGATTTAAACTTGATGATCATTTACTAAATTGTAATTTTATTTTGATAAATGTAAAGTAGTTAATTATTATTATGTTGCCTCACTATTTATAATATTTAATAAGATTAATAAATTATTTTATTTCAGATCGATCAGTCAACGTTCAAAGTACAACATCAATATCAAAATCAGTAGTTCAACCTACGTAGGTAAGTTATGCATCACTAATTATATTCGAATTTATTTGTAATTATTGTATGAGAATAAATTCGATAATTAGTATTGGTTGAAAAAGAAATATGAATATTTGATCAGAATTAGTGAAGATATAGCGTTATATTATATTATAAACACTAATCCCCTTATAAAAACTAAAACATCTTACAAACCTATTGTAGCTGTTAGTCTATTGTCACTTTCTTTTAAATTGAGAATTCAACGCAAAAATAAACTTTAATAGCTAAAATAGGTATATGAGATGTTCTTATGAGTATGTTGAATCAGGGGTTAAATAGGCGTAAATGAAAAAACAAATATATATATATATATATATATATATATATATATATATATATATATATATATATATATATATATATATATATATATATATATATATATATATATATATATATATATATATATATATATATATATATATATATATATATATACAGCGAGGGTTGCATCAAGCAGGTATCGATCCACCTAATGGTAAGTGGTCATCGTAGTCCATGACCGGTTCCAACTTTTCTTATTCCCGCGTTCCTAACATCTAAATAACCCTAACCACGTATGGTATGGTAAGACGAGTTGGCAAGGCAATTTGGCTTTTGGTGATGTTTTTAGAAGGACGCTGATGCTCATCCCTCCATCACAAGCTTCCTTAGTCGCCTCTTACGACACCCAGAGTTTGTTGGTAATGGGTACTATAAGTCACCTTGTTAGTAATAAAGCCTATCGTATATAATAACTGCATCATATCAAAACGTTTATTACATCTAGATAGAAAAAAAACCTCAAAATAATGATAGGGACAATAACGGGCCATTGTCCGTTAAATAAACATTTATACACAATAGGAGCCACAGACAGCCCTCTATGTCGAGGCTGTTTCGACGCCGAAGAAACGGCTGCTCACGTAATCCTGGAATGTGAGACTGTGGCCCATCAACGTTTAGAAATCCTCGGAACGGTGAGGTCACTCCATGAGGCCTGTGAAGATCCCAGGAAGCTTCTGCGCTTCTAGGCGGAGCTAGGTTGGCTGTACTAGCCACAACTCATACGCACAACGGTCCAAATGAGAGGCTAAGATCGGAAAATAGAGTCCTATTCACATTTCACATTTCAATAACTGCAACCTTCATGCGGTCTCTCGTGGTAACCATTATAATTAAATTCTTATAAATTTATCACAGTGTGCCAATAGACCTGGCTTCATCCTTCATTTCCCAACTATCATCACTCATTGGTATCCCACCAGCATATACAGATTGCGCAAGTAGAATTTCTATTCCGTGGCCATCCCATTATTTATTCATTTCTTTACGCCGGCTAGCCGAAGGAATACCTAGTTTGGTATGCAGTATATTCTATGATGGTATTTATGCCTAAGGTTGGCAACATTGTTAATTTGTTATCTTGTAAATTTTCAATAAGTTTCGAATCCTATACATCTACACTCTGTGTAATGGCGTCTTCCTATATTAAATTCCATTTCTGTTAAAAGTATTTTTTAAATTACAAAGTGTAGTTATTAAAGCGTGCAAAGCTCATTTTCATGTTTAAAATCATTATATGATAGATATTATAGACCGTTTCAACAGAACTTATAAAAGGATAATCAAGTTTTGTTGAAATTATCACTGATTTTTTTATTTAAATTATTTAATTTAATTCCGCTACCATTAGTATGTGTATGACTGCCAACTCTTGAAGATTGACCACCAGTCCTCAGGAATGGCAACGCATGGGGGGTATCATTGGCGAAACAGTATACTCTGTTATGTCCATGGTACTGCTTATGTCTATAGGCGACGGTTACCACTTTCCATCAGGTGAGCTTGTTTGCCATTCTGTTGTATAAAAAAAAAAAAAACGATTGCCTCACGTTTTGCGATACGTGTTTAAAAATTATCATTATCCAGAATATTCAATCAATCAATTTTTGATTCTGCAATATAAGTCGACATTAGGAAACTGTGTTTAAGTCGGATCAATTATTCCTTTGTTGTACACTTTGTTAAGATTTATAGAAATAGGTTTTTTTAACGGAGCGGTAACCCCGCCTACGCTAACGGCGGGGCACCAGTGAGAACTGATTGGTGAGAATTAAAACGTAGGTCAGTTAGTCCATTGTGATGAATACACCTGGCATTCAGCACGATGATTTCCAGAGGGGACCACATGGTGGTCGATCTGACAGGGTATATTGCTAGCAATGGGACTAGTCCGCATTACTAACAACCCCCCCCCCCCTCTCCCTATTGAAACAGTTTATACATTTACATATTGTTTGTTAGCAACGGGCGACGCGACGCGAGTAGCGTGAGTCATTTACAATTATCGGGTCAACGGGGGTGAGATTACACCCCCCGAATTAAAATTAAAATTCCAACCGTGACGCCAAGTAATGGACGATCCGACGATTTGAATCGATAACAAATGTTTCCATAATCCTACCTAATACAACAAATGTACAAGTATGAATGTTTATTACTCAGTCACGCTCAAATGATTTTTATTTGAATGAAATTTTGGTACAAGAGTACTTTATATTATATCCTTATATTAATAGCATACTTTACACACGCGGGCAACGCCGAGAGAAACAGTTAGTTTACTATAAAAAAAATACCTGTGGCCAGTGGCTATGAATTAGTACTAGTAAACTTAGACTCCGTTACTTTTTCAAATAAATTAAACTTGGTTAAAATTATATCGTGACAGACCAAATGTATGTACTTTAGAATTAATATTGTTAAGTAACCGCTAACCGCGTTATAAAGTATAATCACAGTGTTATTATAATTACAGTTATATTGTGGTCCAGAATCTCGAGAGCTTACTTAAGATGATGTTTATTATTATAACATTGTTTTATACATGTAAAAATATTATTTATTATAATTTTTACTGCATAATCTGTGCTACTACTTTATATAATTATGCGTTCTATTTATAGGCATAGAAAAATATATCTAGTATGTTATATTTATTTGCGCATCACAGTTTTTTTTAATGGGCGATGATGAAATGGTAACTCCTGCGTTATCGTCATATGCTGACAGGGCACCAGTGAGGGATGATAGGTGAAAATAAAAGCAGGTCAGTTAACCCATCGTGACGAATTCCACTAGAATTAACCAGGATGGTTTCCAAAGGAAACCGCGTGGAAGTCGACCTGATAGGTTGTAGGTGGTGCTAGCAATGAGGCAGTTAGACTATTATTGCCAATCCATTTTCCCCTACGCATCACAATTCTAAACATCCGAATAGGAAATATTCCATTTCTTTTATATTAAATTTTATTTCGCCGGTTTCATTTTCAAAAGTGCTGCATATGACTTTGTAATTCCGTACATCCACCCTGAAACATATCTATGAAAATTTTAGTCAGATGCGTCGCTCGAAAAATATAATAATAGCTACAAAGAAAAACATTTCTCTCTATCTTGTATATGGTATAAAGTTTACCTATTCTATTAATTTACTTACTTATTTAGTTGTAGATAAAAACCAAGTATAGGAGATACAGATCGATTTTTTGTTTTGTATGTAACACGATGTCGTCACCGATTCTAAAACAATTTTAATTAAAATCGACAAAAAGATGTCAAAAAAATTTAAAAAGTGACAAAAAAATTTAAGTATGTCGTTTTTTTCATCGTTTTTATTTAAATAATTTAATATAAATAGTAGAGCGGCCATACTAAAATAAAAACTCAATAATATACAATATTTTTTTTTAAATAATCCGAGCTGATAATCTTGAAACGCCTGAACAGATCTTCATCAATTGTAACTAAAAACCATCTAGATTACGTCAGCTTTCAAACAAAAAAAATCATTATTATCGGTCTGTTTGTTTAGGAGCTACGATGCCGCAGACAAACACACAGACACGTCGCACTTGTAACACCCCTCTTTTCGTTAAGGGTTAAAAAGCATTTTTACAGGTATAATACAATTTAAAATGTTGCCAGTAGCGATAAAGAAGGTAAAAGTTAAAATGAAAGGAATGTTTATTAGTAGGTATTATCTTGTGAAAATGTTCTTTAATTAGTTTACCGTTTGCTTCAGTTTCTTGTTCGGATAATGTATTCTTAGCTCCGTAGAGGAAATCACAACTTATTAATCTATTCACATAACATGTTCCTAGAAGCGTAACAAGTACTTTATATGTGTATATATACCTTTTACTTCCTCATTGGAGTACCTAATGCATTATTTAAATTCTCCGATTTTTTGTGACAGGGTGAGAATATTATTCGCTGTTAGCCATTTATTTTTATATTTAGAACATCATAAAAGACCAGTTAATGAAAACATGATGAAAAAGTTAAAGTTTTGCAGTGACTTTTAAATCTTTATCATTTTTTTTATTACTATACCATTTCATTATTTTTCATTATTCATCCGAAATAAACAGGGGTCAAAAATGGACAAAAAATTTTGAGCATTCCATATCTACTTGATAGCTGAATACAAAAAGACTCAAAATTAATGTCATAACCATAATAACCTAGCAATAAAATAGGTATTTTACCGACTAGGTACTACCTTAGGTAGGTACTGGATAGGCAGGTTAGAATAGCCATGAACATAATTTTCAAGTAACTAAGGATCATTATTTCTATGTTCTTTACATTTATTATATTCTCACTAAAAAGAAATGTTACTTACTCGAAATAATAATATTATCTCGAAATAATCTCGTCTGCTCAGAATCAACCCTCAAATCGTACGTCAGGGGCTGCAATATGGCGACTAATTGCTGTGATTCACAACTACCAGCCGAGCGAGTCCAGCCTGATTGATTATTATTGATCATAAACGACATGGAAATAGCTTAAGCGTCGTATTTCAGTTACTTTCAGTCGTGTAGGCACAGTCATTAGGTAAGAGAAAAATAATGATTATTATTTGGTGTAACTCGCATCAGAAATAGAGTGAGTCACAGCTTGTTATTTTTATGAAGAATACTATT